CATATGCTTTAATGTTAAGTTCCATAGCGATTGTGTCATGAAAATTTTTTCATACAAGAATAGCAATCTTTCTAAGAATCTAAAGTTCCAAATGCTTCCCCACCATTGAAATTTTGAAACAGTGACTCACATTTCTTCATTATACGCTTTGGAGGTAAATTTACTCGATTTAGATCCTATATATACTAACCTATCTACTTCATCATCCCGCAAATACATAACATCCAATTCAGAGCTAAATCAAAGGAGGGAGAGACATATATATGTATCTATTTTGTTTAGCTTGAGCTATCATAATGCTCAAGGCACCCATTGGTTGAGGGAATTCTGCTAGTGAACATTTAGCTCTTCATAGATTGATTCTACGCACTCCTACCATTCAAATAGAATGATCTAATAGATAGCAAATATATGGAAATAAAGTTTTCTATACCAAGAACCCTTTCGATCATTGAACCGAATGGAATGAGAAAGCACTCTATATTTAGCTCTCATAAAGCAGCTCTATAAAGATGAGCTTATTAGAAATGACAAAGTCAATTTACCTTTCATAGCACCTAACACTTCATAAAGATTTCGATGCCCAACTCCACCCTTTTACACCGAAAGTGAAATATTTACATGTGTTGTCATGGTTGATATTTGTGTTATCATAGTTAATTGAAAATATTTGCACGTATTGTGTATTTTAGATATAGTTTTTTTTTTTATGATCATTTGGAGTATTTGATAATTAGAAAATATCTATTTTACAAAAGTGACTTCGCCAAAATTTTATTAGATATTTAGAAAAATTGTTAATTAAATAATTATGTGTTGCCTCGAACATACAAAAACAAAATAATACGATTCAATCATGTATGAATGGATGTTAACTTAATCAATGGGTATTTAAATGATGATTTCATGAACGAAGTCGAAGAATATGTTACATTTGCTTTTACTCATCTTGAATGTATGAATGAAAGAAAGTTAATGTATCCTTGTAATTTCGCAAGTGTCGAATTAAAATTTTAAAAGGTTCACATGGTTAAATACCATTTAGTGAGATATCATTTTATGTCCGGATATTATGATTGGATATACCATGGGGAAACAAAGTCGGAGAGTTATTTTGTATCAAAAAATTTTCATGAAAGCAAAAAGAGTTATAGTGAACCTCCTAATCCATATAAACCAATGGCGATGGATGCAATCGTTCCATCATTTAATCGGTCTAGCATAGATGAGAGGCCAAATCCCAACGTTTGAGATTTTTATGACATGTTGAATGCAACGAATAAAAAGATTTGGCGTGATTGTGAAAAGCACTCATAGTTGTCTATAGTTTCCTAATTGCTTAACCTTAAGTCAAAACACCATTATTCTTAAAGGTGTTACGATGAGATATATGAGTTGATGAAGAAGTTGATGTAATTGACAACTACATGATAGAGGATTTTTAAAACACCAAAAAGTTGATGAAGGGGATAGGTTTTAAATATTTTTATACACCTAAACACATTTATATATTTATTTGATTTTAATTTTATTAAATAATATACTATGTTTTAATAGGGTGTTATTTTTAGTTGTTTACTAATACCATTATATATATATAAGTTTCCTTCATTTAGTGACGAATCAGTAACCAAATTAGTAACCAAAATTTAACTTCTCTACGATGAAAAAATATACAATCAATAAATAGTGACGGATATGGTGACGAATTTGTAATGAATTTTAACGAGTATGATTTAACAATGATAATTCCATCACTAAATAGCGAGGACAATATGGAAAATAGCAATGGTTTTACGATAGATACCAAACCCGAAAGATGACTATTTACTTTGATTTAGCGACATAAATTGTACATGTTAGATATGGATAGGTCGTTGTTGATCAACGACATATAGAAATTTTCATCTATAAAAACAAGTTGATGACTGCATTAGCTATTGAAAAATATTATTACAAATCTGTCACTAAAAGTAAATAGTGATGGAAAATGATGATTTAACAATGGAAAATTCCATCATTATTTCTTGATTTGTTTTAGTTATAGGAGCTCGTAATAGAATGAAAGTGATGGTAGAGGAGGAGGAGTTTTGATAGAATAGTAATATAATAATTTTTTTTTCAAATTTTTTTCTCATCGCCATCACCAATGAGGGTGGTGGTAGTGGTGGCAGTGTCGGTGATGTAGGTGTCAATTGTAGTGGCGTATATTAAATAGAAAATCAATCCAAGCTTACAAAATCAAAGACTTTCATTAAGTCAACTTTGAGAGAACACTTGGGAGTCATATTGCTCATCAAATAATTTTCACGATCTCTCAAGCAAGTAAGACATTGCACAAATTCATTGAACAAAAGGATTGATTATAATAGAGAGCCATCCATATATATTGATTCATTCGCAGCTTTGATCTCCTTAACCATTCCAATGAAGTTACCATAAGAGTTTTCATTTAAAAGAATAAAATTGTAACTATGTAGAACAAGAAGTACAAATTTTTCATACTTATAAATCTTAAAACTTCATGTTTTTCATATAATTTTAAATGAAAATTATACCTTGATTCATATTTAGATCTTTGATTCAATATTGAAAAATAATAGATGAAGAATAGTTTCTTTCTCTAGCTCTCTTTCTGAATGATGAATATTCTTTATTTTTGTTATTTTTTTCATTAAGAGATATAGAGAATCAAACTCCTTCTTCTATAGCCTTAATCTAAAGTCTTCCATCAAAATTTGATCATGCATTATTATTAATTATATGTATCATAATTAATGAGATAAATATATCATCATTAATTATATGTATCATAATTAATTAGATACATGCATTATCATTAATAAGATGTATCTTAATTAATTAGATACACTTTAAATATGCATGTATCGTAATCAATAAATATATCATAATTAATCATGCATCTTAATCAATTAGATATACTTTAAATATTATGTATCATATGGATCATAATTAATTTTATATTCTAGATATATGTATATGGGTCGTAATTAATTTTACATTCTCTCACTAGATCTATATGATATTACATTTATGATTTAATAAGAAGAACATAATGTGTAAAACTGATGATCTTCCGTTATAATGTAATACCATAATTAAATAGAAATATTAATGTGAGACATGACGATTGTATTTTATTTTTTCAACACAATCTCTTTCATATTCCATAACACTAACTCTTAACTTAACATGATCTTTAATAAGAATTATAATGATTCAACTTTAATTTCTTTATTATTAAATTATTTATGTCTATATTATTGTAAAGCAATTATGTGTACTAAATAGAAAATAGGAAATATCATAAACATATAGTGAGTTTAGAGAGTTAAAAATATAAATTTAATAAAAAAAGCAATACAATATCACTAATGACATTCAAATACCCATCATTTCAATATGTTCATTAAATATTTTGAATGCAAATTTTTTAGTCAAGGATATGCAATAATAAGATTGGTGTTCATGTGCTTAATTGACACTTTTTGTTTTCGAGTTTCTTCTTTAATGATAAAATATTTGATTTTAATATATTTAACACCATTAGAATACTTTTAATTTTGAAAGAAGAAAACTACTGCAGAGTTATCATGATAAATTTTCAACAATTTGGGAATACTTGTCACTATCCGATATTTAGGAGACTTTCAAAAAATAAATGAAAAATTATTTATATGTTTGGATTTATTATTTTTTGGGACATGAGTTAGTAGATGTTTTAAAGTCTCTTCCTAGTATTATAGGAAACTCAAAAGCCTAAAAAAAGATATTGGATTTAGAGATCTTGAATAAAAAGTTGGTTATGCCTTTGGAAAGATATCGATCATCCAAGGGCACCTTTTTTTCGAAAAAAGATACTATATTTGGTTTAATCTTAAAATATATCTCCTAAGAATTTACTTTACCAATTTATTTCCTATATCTATTTCCAAGGTTGTCTATTGTTTAAGCCATTTTTTTTTTTTTACTATAGCATCGTATTAAATTAACTTCGAGCCTTAAAATTTGAGAGGCTCATCAATTTAGCATCGGATTTGATTGAAGCCCCGACATAGTTGGCTTATCAAGGAATAACCTAATTAAACTAAAAGTGTTTTATTTGAAATTATGCATGAAAAATATTTCTTTTATTTTTATTTATGACATTGTATTAATTAACTTCAGTGCTCTAAAACTTAGGAGTCCCATCAATTTAACAACGAAATCCAAATTAAAGTTCTAACATGATTGATGTATCAAAGAATGACCTAATTAAGTAAAAACAATTATTTAGAATACTAAATAAAAATTTCCCAAACTAAATTTGATAATTCGGTTAAATCGGATACCTAACATTTTAAGCAAATAATAACATAAACAATTCAATTCATTAATTAATTTGTAACACAACGAGATTTACATTTATCTAAGATAATCAACATAAAAAAAAGGCAAACTCAGCATCCTAGCTTCATCACAGAGCATTGACCTAACCTTATGTAACCTCAATGTCTCGGGGTCGCGGACCTTCGGGTTTGATGTGCAACAACATACCTCAATATCCTTCAATCCAATCACATAATTCATCCAAACATGTAAAAAATAAATTATCGAACAATTAGAACAAATATTACAAAAAATCTAAAAATGATTGAATTATCCTATATTGCTTTGGAGATACCAATTTTACCCTTGAAGTGGAAAGATGACCAGATTTGTCCACGATGTTGGGAATGACCAAACTACCTTTTTGTGTAAATAAATTATTGATTGTCCTTGATATGAGAAAGGATAAAATTTCCTCCATGGTATGTCCATCAACCTACTAGTGGTGAGATGATTGTCGATTACAAAGCTATATTGGGTTTCCAATCATTGCTTCTATTCAATCATCAACCTATAATAACAACCAAACAAGAAAAATCTAAATCCGGACCTAGAACTACAAATTTTAAGTTTTAATTAAAACTTTTAAGGTTTGAGCTATTATTCTTGGAATGGGTTTAGAGGTGGTCGCGTGTTTTAGCTGGATATGGAGCTTTGGTCGTAGAGGAGAGGAACAATACAAGGAGATGGCTATGGTGGTAAGGGTTCCAATGGTGGAAATGGCTACTATGGTGAAGGTTGTAGTTGGCGAGCTGCTATGGAGGAATTATGATATAAAGAGCTAATGTTTCCGGACTAGGGATATAAATGGAATTATGGTTCGATTGAAGAAGATTGTGGCTGCTAAGGGAGAGGAAGATGATAATGGTGGACCTATAGTGGGTTTGGTTAGCAAGGAGGGCTAGTTTACATGGTAGTTTGGGTAGTATTTTCAAGTGAGAGGGGATCAAGTGGTTGGTTTTCCTTTAATGGACTTGAGGATGCCTAAGGTTTGGTGGTGGCTAATGGGATTTCATTAGGAGAGAATCTATGATGGCCAACAACTTGATGGTGTGAAAGAGTGGCTAGTGTGAAAGAGTTGTGGTTTATGGGTGGTTGTGTGGGTTTATTGGCGAATACGACTTAGATGAGGGTTTCGGGCTAGAGTTGTAGTAGTTTTGATGGTGAAGTAAGGGTTGTAATGACCGGTGGTGTTTTACTAGGAGAGGATATATGTGGAGCTTGGTGGTAGTGAGGCGAGGTTTGAGTGGTTGTGTGGGTTTGTTGGTGGAGATGGCTACTAGAGTGAGGGTTTCGGGGTTGAAGTTGCAGCGGCTTGGTTATAATGGTGGTTGATGGCAAGGTAAGGGTTGCGGTAGGCTGGTGGTGTTTTGTTGGGGAAGGATTTGGGGTGGAGCATCGTGGCGGTGATGTTTAGAATTTAGGGTTTAAGGAGAGAAATTCAAGTGGAGCTTGGTGACGAGTGAAGGAGGCTTAGATTGCTCGCTAAGGTTTTTCTTAGGGACAAGATGAAGAGTTGTGGTCGCTATTTTTTTTTTTTTAGGAAAGATAAATAGTTGCAATTGAATTAAAAATAAGAAGAAATTTTTTTTTATATAGGGTTTTAGGGTTATGATAAAATCAAATTTGATCTTTTCTTTGTCGATTTATTTCAATCTTAGTATACATTTTATTAGTTCTTCTCCAATCGATTCCTTAATTAAAATTGTTTAGTCCCTATTCTATGTATTTCTATCAATTCTGTTATAATTCATTCTCAATTAAGGCCCTTGATTTTTTTATTTTTTTCAACTACATCCCTAATTGAATGTTATTTGGTCATCACATCTCATATCTTTTTCAACTCGGATCCCTAATCATCTTCTTTTTTTTTTTTTTACTTTTTTTTTTAATTAAAATTAGGGAATAATTGTAAAAATTTATAAAAATACATAAAATCATGAAAAAAATCAATAAACTAAGCAATATGCTATTTTTTTAATTTAATTTTTTGAATTTTGTATGAAAATAAATGGAAGGGTCAAAATGGGTTATGACAATATTGTTGACAACTTTAGATCCTAAAATAAATTTCTACAACCATAAATTATCAATGGTGGCCTCAAAGCTTGTCATAAACTTAGCATTTATAATGGATGTAGCAATGACATACTACTCTGCATCCTTTCATGAAATCGTTCCTCTAAATAACAAGAACAAGTATCTAAATGTATTTTTTTTAATACACACATCTAACAAAATTCAAAAATTAAATCTACTCAAGATGATTAGATCTCTTATAAATGAGTATGTGATTTTTTGTTTCTTACAATTATCTAAAAACTTTCTTTGTAACTTTTGAACTAGACATTAAACTCTTAATAGTAGATACATAAGGAATATTTTTCATTATAAGGAATATTTTTCATTTGTTCTCATTCGAATTCATTTTTCGAACATTGCCTAAGGATAAATTTTTCTTTTTTCTAATTTGAAACTATTTTGCTGAGCATATATCCATCTTAAACCATTTTAAAATTTTATTAATGTAGGCTATTTAAAACTATCTTGCTATTTGAGACAACTTTAAGAACTACAATTTTAATATATATTTAGTGGAACTCCAAGTTATATTGAGCCACCAAAGTATGATGATTCTAAGAGAATATTTTTTAAAAACTAGTGAAAAAAATCTCTTTATACTTAATGCCAACTTTTTACATAAAATCTTTTGCAAAAAGTCTAACTTTATATTGTTCAAAATTACCATTTGAATCATTTTTGGTTTTAAGGACCAATTTACACCCAACCTTTTTACATAACGATATCCTATATATGATTTTGTTCTATAGATTTTGACTTTTCTTCCATGGAACTAATCCACTTAGTTGAATCATCACATTTCATGGTTGTGAAAATGAAATTGGATAATTGTCAATTTCAAAGTGAATTTCTAATTCTTATATATAAACCACATAATTGTGAGAAATAATAGATATCTTTTCTCTTGGGTATTTTTTAATGTTATTTCATTTGGTTTGATATTATGGGGTCATTATTGATATTTTATTACAAAGAATTTGGTCATTGATTTGTTATTCTTTACTATTCTTGGTTTGAACTACAATTTTAGGAAAAAAAATCATAGAAATTTTTAGAACAAGAACTTTCACCCCAACTTCTTGAATGTTAGCATCATGCATCTCTCACTCCTACTAATGTCATTATTTTTTGTAGCATTTCTAAATTCAAAAATTCTTATACCATGATCGGGATAATAAAATGTAGGCCCTTTAAACGTTTTTAGATATCTAATGAAGTAACCACCAATTGTTCAAAAGTCTAATTTCTTTTTATGTAGATTATAAATTATCACTTCTACTAGACAAGCCTAAACATATAGGTGCCTCAAATTAGGTTTTCTTCATGTTCTTAAATCAAAAGGAGTTTTGAACTACTTTACTAGCAATCCTATTTAGCAAATACATAACGATTTTTAATGTATACGTCCATAAACATGATTTTTGGATAAAGATGAATGACCCAACATGCTCCTAACCATTTCATTAAAGTATGATTTTTTTTCTTTTTTCTACACCATTTTTATATGGTGTTCCTAGCATTGTGTATTGAGTATAAAAACCTAGTCTTTCAAGAAATTTGACAAATGGACCTAAACATTGTCTTAAGTCATCATACTTTCCATAATATTCACCATCTTTATCTAATCTTATAATTTACAATTTCTTATCGAATTGTCTCTCAACCTTTTTAATATACACTTTAAGTGAATTACTTGATTGAAATTTATCATGCAATAAATAAAAATAACCATAATGTAAAAAAAATAATCAATAAAGGCGATACAAATATTTTTCTCCATCTAAAGATGGGGTTTCAAAAATAATCTTAAGAAGTTACGTGCTTCTTGTGGCTCATTGTTTAGTTTATTTTGTTTGCTTTGCTTTAACATGAACAATACACACTTCAAGATCAATAAAATCTAAATATGGAAGAATTTCATTCCTTACTAATATTTATATCATTTCTTTGGATATATGACTTAAACATTTATGTCACAAGTAAGTAGAATCCTCATAAAGTAAATTACATTTAGTGCCAATATTATGATGCAAGATCATTAAACTCTCAATAAAAATATTATCAATTCTAAACTTATAAAGACCATCACTTAATATTCTAGAACCAATAAGATTATTTTTCTTAAAAAAAAAAAACTAAAAGATCCAGAACCAAACTTTTTAAAAAAATCCACAACACCAAGTTTGGTAAAGAAACTAAATTACAAAAAAAATGTAGGTACATAAAAAGTGTGAAACGAATCCAAATAATTAAAGAAACTCAAATAAGAAAATAAATGTTAAAAACATGAGGAAATCATCATTATCATATTTTTCAATAATTTAGCCGAAGGATCATGCATTCTATAGAGGAGCGAGAATAAACAAAATTTTTCATTTTCCTTCATCTAAAGTTCCCACGACCATGCTATTGAATCAACTAATTATATAAATACAACAAGATAATAATAAGTGATTACCTCTTATACCGTAGAATTCAAACTTTACGAAAAAGAACCATCCAAATTTCTACACTCTACCGATAATCTACGCAGCTTAAACACTTACACAAGAAGCAACAAAAATCGTTGTGTGGTAGCTCTAACTATTCCGTATGATAAATCTTTCCTTTAAGAAATCAATTAGTGCTAACCTATTTTGAGAGAGAGAGACAAGTGGTCAAAGTTTTCTTAAGGGAGAGAGTGCTCTTCCTTTTGTTTTCCGATGCCTTATGCCGCCTCTCTCTCCCTTTCTTATTTATAGGGGTGACAACAACTCCCTCTTAAGAAAGGAGTTGTTGCTTATGTGGGCTTTGACTAAACTTATCCTTATAAACCTTGAGTCTCATCCTTAGTGCTCAAGTTTATCCTTTCATCAAAATATCTTGCAGTTCCATTAATTTGGATCATCCAAATAAATTGGTTCAAGTATTTTAGTAGAACCCATATTAGAAAATAATTTTTTAAATTATCTTTAAACCAAAAGTAGGAAACTCGATTTCTATTTTAAGTAACTAACTTTCAAATTTGGAAATGACTTCCTCTAATACCCCGAACTCCGTGAATAAATGAAATAATATGATTTAAATATGTATAGAAATTATTATGTCTACATAGAATAATGGCTAGATAGGTGTTAGAAAATTTCATGCACTTAGGTTAATTTTTACGTGCTTGGTGAATATTTTATTGGCTTTTATGTGCATGAATAGTTTTTATGCAAAATAATTATTTTCAGTGCCTAAATAAGTGCATAAAAATTATGTGATTGATTAACAAATTACTACAAAAAGTCCATGAATTTATTATAAAAAAAATTATTTTTCCGAAGGGTGTAGAATAAATTATGCACATAGAGATTTAATTGTATAAGAATTAGGGACTTAATTGCATAAAATTAAAAGTTTTAGCCCTCAAATAAATTTGAAAGTAGATTTTTAAGGGCATAAAAATATTTGAAAAGCCAAAGGGAAGAATAAAAAATAGTCATTTGAAAATTTGGTGGACTATAATATAGGGACTAAAATAAAATAATGTGACAAATTAAGGGATCAAAATAAATATTTTTGGCCAAGATTTTCTTATGCAGCCGACCATTTCACCCCCTTATTGAATGAATTTAATTATGACATTTAACAAAAGTCTCATCTTTAGACACAAATAGATGGTTAGGATTAAAAGAAAAATTAATTGTGGAGATGGAAACGAATGAAGGACTAGATATGAGTCAACCAAGGAAAACGTTCACCATTTTGCCTATCATTACAGCTTATAGGAGGAGGAAAACAAATGATAGAAAAATAGAAAAAACCAAGCCCAACTCTTGCCAAAAATTACTAAAATCACAAGAACTATTAAACTAAACATTAAACACATCCTAAGTCATTCCATTAAGGTTGGAATCATAATTGGAAGATCAAAATTAGCAAGGGAGAAATTTAGAAAGGAGGCAAAAATTTGGAGGAGGAAGGAAGACAAGCTTGCAAAAATTCAACTTGAAAAGAATTAAATTGGAGCATTAAAAGTAAATTAGTCTCACTACATCATAAGAATTTAGTTTGGTGTTGAATTGAATGATTTTAAGTGAAAAGATTATATATGCTATGTGTGTTGATGTTGATGGGGATGGAAACTTTTGTACATGAAAATATGATTTTTGGATTGGATTTAATGTTGGTGAAATGAATTGATGATGTTGTGTAATTAATCTTGCTTGAATTGTTGGCTTGTGTAGTTAATTCAAGTTTAATTGAATAAATTGAATTAATTAGGGTTAGGGTTCTTGAACATGTAAATTAGATAAAATGATTTAAGTGTTCCAATTGATTAAATCGATGATGAAATAGACTAATTAAGCA